AACTTTCTGATGAAATGGGGTCGTTTTGTGTAGTAACTGGGTGGTCCGGGTATGGGAATGGGTTGGGTTGTGTGGAAGGTTTGGGACCGTCCGATCAAATGAAATTGACGACCCTGATCAAAACGTGTCCAAACGACGTCGTTTGGTTCTGGTAGGGGTGGACCAGGTAGGGAATGGGTTGGGCTGGCCTGGGGATCAGGTCTGGCTGGGTAATTGTTTGGGCTTGGGGATCTTTTGGCCCAGATTTGATCTCCTCTATTTTATTAACTCTTTTTTCTTTTCTTTTTTTCTTTTTCTTTCAAAAATTTTAAACTAAAATCCTAATTAAATTATAAAACACCAAATTAACTAAAAATGCTAATTAAATCTAACTAATAATTATCACAAATAATTAAATGCCAAATTAAAAGAAAATCACACAATTTGACTAAAATTACAAAAAATATGTTATTATTTTTTGAATTTTCATTTTTGTAAAACACCTAATTATTAATTAATTCCAAAAAATGTAAAAATCAAATATTAAATGCAAATGCTATATTTTTGTATTTTTAATGCATTAATAAAATTAAACATGCACACAAATATATGCAAACAATCAGGAAAATCACACAATAATTCCTAAAATAATACATAATTAAAGACAAGACCTAATTTTGGGATTTATTTTGGAGTAATTCGTATGAGGTAAAAATTACGTGCTCACACTAGGAAGGATCCTCATGGCGGCTCCACCAAATTTTGAAGAAGGTCAATCCATATACCGAACCCCCAAGTTTAATGGACAATGCTATTGGTGGTGGAAAGCTAGAATGCACGATATTATCATGGCTGAGGATTGTGAGCTATGGGATATCATTTGCGATGGTCCTTATGTTCCAACCAAGGTACTAGAGGAATTTTCATTTTCAATGGCAAAAACAAGCAAAGAGTACACTAAAGCAGACAAGAAAGTTGTGAAGAAGAATTTCCATTTCCTTCGTGCATTATCACTCATATCATGGCACGACATCACCCTCCATGCTTTTACATTCATAATATCGGCACGGCATCACCCTTCGTGCATTAACACTCACTCACAAATATCACGCACGGCATCACCCTTCGTGCATTAACACTCACTCACAAATATCACGCACGGCATCACCCTTCGTGCTTTCCACTCATCCTTACCCAAGCAACAATCACAAGTAATTCAGGCAAGGGAATCAATAAAAATCACAATAGAATCTCGGCAAGGGAACAATGGTATAACTATAATATTTCGGCAAGGGAAACAATATCATAAGCAATAACATTCCGACAAGAAAAACAATATCATAAGAAATAACATCCCGGCAAGGGAAATAATATCGTAAACCTCTCCTCCTTTCCACAATCACTTTACATCATAAATCTCAACTTGAGCCAATGCTCTACAATGTTCAGTTACCAAGAATACTTCCATAAGCCTTGTTCCACACTGATAATCATCATATTAAACATGGACAATACATAACGGAGTCATGACAATCATAGTATAAGACTCACGGGAATGCTTGACACCAACGTATAGATACTCGTCACCACACCTATACGTCGTACTCAACAATTAACACATAGCAAATAAGACTACAACTCATATTCCCTCAAGCTAAGGTTAGGTCAAACATTTACCTCAATGCCACGAGCACAATCAAGTCTCAACTACCACTTTACCTCTTGATTCCACCACCAACCCCCTTGAATCTAGTCACAATTTACTTAACGATATCAATAAATGCTAAATAAACCAATTCTAATGCATGAAAATAGGTTTTCTAATGGTTTCCCAAAAAAGTCAAAAATCGACCCAGGGCCCGCTTGGTCAAAATCTGAGGTTCGAACCAAAACCCGATCACCCATTCACCCACGAACTCAAATATATAATTTGTTTTGAAATCGGACCTCAAATCGAGGTCCAAATCCCCAAAATTTAAAAATCCTAAGTTCTACTTAAAAACACTCAATTTTCCCATGAAAACCCTTGATTTTGGATTGAAATCATGTAAAAAGATGTTATAGATTGAAAAAAAATGAGTTAGAAATGATTTACTAATGATTTGGAGAAGAACTTTTCTTTGGAAAATCGCCCAAGAGAGCTTAGGGTTTGAGAGAGTTTGAAAAATGAAGAAATTTCGTCTAAGTTATAATTTGCACAGGTGCAGATATCGCATTTGCAATGTCAGGTTCACAAATGCGAACTCGCAAATGCGGCCCAGGCTTCGCAAATGCGAAGGTAGGCCTCCCTGCTTTCTTCGCAAATGTGAACTACCGTTCGCAATTGCGATTCTTTCTGAAGTCGCATTTGCGACATTGAGCTTCGCAAATGCGAAGGTCTCCCTACCCAGCCCATCGTCGTAATTGTGATAATTCTTCGCAAATGTGAGCTCGCATTTGCGAAGCCTGCAGACCTGCAACACACCAGCAGTTTTCCTAAGTCCAATTTCACTCCGTGGCATATCCAAAACTCACCCGAGCCCTCGGGACCCCAGACCAAACATGCACGCAAGTTCAAAACATTATACGGACTTGCTCGTGCGATCAAATCATCAAAATAACATCAACAACTATGAATTCAACCTCAATTTCATAAAATTACTTAAGAACATCAAAATTTTCATTTTATCAAATAAAGGTCCGATTTATACCAAACGAACTCTGATTCTTACCAAACTTCACAGATTCAACTTAATTATTATATAAGACCTGTAGCGGGCTCCGGAACCAAAATACGGGCCTGCTACCATCAAATTCAAACATCTTTAAATTTCCAAAAACTTTTATAATTTCAGTTAAACAATTTCTTTCAAAAATTCATTTCTCGGGCTTGGGACCTCAGAACTCGATTCCGGGCATACACCCAAGTCCGATATTTTACGACGGACCCTAGAGACCATCGGATTACGGGTCCGGGTCCGTTTACCAAGAATGTTGACCAAAGTCAACTTTAATCAATTTTTAAAGGCCAGTTTCCTTATTTTACTTAGATTTCACATAAAAGCTTTCCAGAAATACGCCCAAATTGCGCACACAAATCGAGGTGAGATAAAAAAAAGGTTTTTAAGGACTCGAAACACAAAATTTACTTTCAAAACGAGTGATGACCTTTTGGGTCTATCACATTGATATTGGTCAATGATGAGAACCTCGCTGTTAATGGTTACGAAGCACGAAATTTCACTTGACCAGCATAACATAATTCAAGGGCTGGGTATCAATATGATTCTGTAAATAACAAGAAATGCATTGTGCTTTCTCAAATGATATGTTCCATGTCTACGTTTTTTCAAATAAGATGTGTAGTTTGACCTTTTATATTGACAGTCGTGTCACTTGGAAACAAAAGGTTGCTGACTTGATAAATGGCTTTCCAGAAACAATTTTAGAAGGCAAGTAAGTTAGCTGAATAGATTCTATTGNATATATATATATATAATTCTTTTCCGAGTATGTAATAATTTTTTGGTATATGTTACAAAAGAAACTTGCAAGTAAACTATATAAAGTTTTACTCGAAAAAGTCATGTTTTATTTTGATTTGTAAAGTTGATTGTTGATGAAATTTGACTTTTTCAAGATATACTATGTCTCAACCAGAAGCACCATGGAGAATTTATGAGTTCAATCTAAGTGAATATAATATCAAATTATTAACTTTCAACTACATCTTCCGGATGACCAATCAGGTACTGTATGTCAAACAGCTAAAATTTATAGCAATTGTTTAAAAACAAATACATCTATATTTTACACTAATTATGTGTTACATGACTCGATATACACGCGCCGAGAAACTAGTTTAACCATAACTATTAACGGAGGATATAAACCATTTCGTATAGTTGAGCAAATTTGGAAATTTTCCCTTAAATGAAAAAGAACGAGAACCTCATTACGAGGAAAATAGTAGCAGAGAAAGGAGCTCAACGGTATACAGAAAGATTGTATGGTGGAATTCCAGAAGTTAACCATGAGTTAAGGTGCAAGGGTATTCAATTTTGTATCCAAGCATCAGCAGCCAATACATAATTGCCTCTGAAACGTCTTTATATTAAACAAAACACTCAAGCAGTTGAGTGATCAACATGAAAGAAGAACCACGAACGGTTGAGCCGAGAATAAATTGGCAAAATCTCGAGGCTGAATCTGTTTCTCCCTTTCAATGTAGGATAAACCTCCTATCTAATAAAAAAAAGAACTGTAAAATGAAAATGAAAAGGGTTGCGAATGAAATTTCTTGGTATGCTCTAAATAGAGTATTACACCATTTGATCTAACAAGTGAGAGTGCTAGAGCTAATATGGTTTTTCAACTCCACAAATGTCCTCTGCATTATCAGAAATACTGTTGACAAAGTAGTCTTTTAGAAGCAAGACAAATAAGCAACTCCGTTTTAATGTCATGCTCGGTAACACAAAGGAAAGCATCATAATTAGGCTGCTGGCCTAAAGATGGGTTTGTCTAGCTACTGAACAAAGGGCAAACTACAGCACATGTTCTGGTTTTATTTCAATGGCGGGACATTGGTAATTAGACTTGTAAGCCACAACACAACAGAACATATGATCCAACAAACCACACAAAAGACCAAGACACCAGCCAAAATGGTGGCTAATGGAGGGCCTGATGCATCACTGCTTTTGTCTGATCCTCCTGAAGAATTGCTGTTTGATGCTGATATAGGTAGTAGTCTCTGCCTTAGCTGCACACACACAGCATTGTTGAATCTGAACAACAAAACAGAGAACCAAAAACTTGTAACATCCTTTGACAACAGAACAGCTAAGTACAATGAAAATGATATCATAAACCACGGAAGTTGTGCTCAGGAGACATCAGTTGTCATCTATGTTGCTCGGACTCTCCAAAAATACTGTTGCATCCGTGTCGGATCCTTCAAAAATGCACTACTTCTGGAGGATCTAACATGCACCCGGCTGCATATTTGAAGAGTTCGAGCAACATAGGTAACCTCTACTTTAAAAAGCCTGTACTTTTTGTCCTTGTTGTAGAGCTCCATACACCCATTAAACAAGAAAGTGAGTCAATATACGTTGTACATACAGATTTGGAAAACATATACTGAAAAAAAGCGGGACCTCTATTTTCAAGCATCCAATTCAATAATAAAATCTGCAGAAGTTTTCCAAGCCCTGGATAGTAAAAACAGCTATAGACCTTTTAAGGCATGGCAAAGTAATGCAAGTTTTCTAATGTTTGGATGTCAAAAAGTGGCAACTTCATTCACCACAATAACATGATTGGAAATCAGAATTACTTCATGTCAAAGTAAGCTTCTCCAGAAACCATACAATGTCATTAATTTAAGTACCTTTTGACAATTTCTCTTTGTTCCGTCCAGAGGTGGTTTTACATCAAACGATTTTGTGGTGAAGGAGAGAGAACGCCTTTGAGATCGATTTTAGCAGATTTATAAATCCTAGCATATTCTCAAACCTTACAACTGAACTGAACAACAGGATTCAAAAGCCTTCACTACTATGCAGTCCATTTCTAATGGTGCACATAGTATTTATTACTTCCTCTATTCCAATTTATGTGATGCACTTTCCTTTTTAGTCCGTCCCAGAAAGAACGATACCTTTTTATATGTAAAAACAGTTTGATTTCAAACTTCTCATTTTAGTTTTAATGAGATTATTTATAGCCACACAAATATCTATGGCTTTTTTTGGACCAGAAGTTTCAAAAGCTTTTCTTTCTTAAACTTCGTACCCAGTCAAACTACATAACATAAAATGGAATGGAGGAAGTACCATTGATTGTTGAATTATAGTTATACAGGGAGGATAAACAAGGAAAACTTCTATAAACAAAGCAAAAACATTCAGTAGGAAGCCAAAGAGTCGTGCAAATGATCTGAGTTCAAACATTAGCACCCTAGTAATCGAGGAAGCTGGAACGAAGATTAACGGAGTCTAGGTTTCAATCCCTGAAAAGATAGAAAAGTTAATTAATTTCTCTTCATTTGTCTAAGCCTTGATGGGCAAATTTATCTAGTACCGTGGTGGGAGGACGCAAGCACCCGATGAAATAACTAAATTGCGCGTAAACTGGTTCTGGCACCACCTGTATTAAAAAATTTCACACACACTCACTTCACTTCCCTTCACTTCCCTCCATACGCACACTCTCACCCACTTGGTCATTTAACTAGCTGCAGAAGGTATTGTATGTCACCAATGAACAACCCATTAATTCTAAAATTACTACAAATTTTAGACCAAAAGAACAAGTAAAAGAAATAATATTGAGTCTAAAAGAGTGTAAAATTGAAGCATTTGTACCTGGAATTGAAGTGGGCAGGGAAAGCACCGTGGCTAGGACTGAGGAAGGTAACGAAGGAAGATTGAGGCCTGTGTAGGGGACGCTGAAACCCTAGAACGGCTTGGAATGGACGAGCAGAACAATGGACGGACGCCATTTCTGTGTGCCAGACGTTTGCTTGTCTCTACTAATAGTTAGATTTTGTGAATTATGAATGAATAATGACAAATCTGAAATTAGTGAATGCAAATAAATGATGGTGACAAGGTACAGAGAATTTGTGATGGACCCTTTATGAATTATTCGACAAAAGATTCTATTGGGTTTTTTATAAAATAAAATAAAATAAAAAGTATTTCTATTGCTTTATTTTTTACTTTTAGGTCTTTTATTTCCAATTTGTGTCTAATAATCACAACCGATTTGTACCGTGTAAGACCCATTAAAGAGAAAATAGAAAACTTATTTTCAAGGTTCGAACTAAAATCTCTGGTTAAGTATGAGGGAATCACGTTCATCTCAACACAATTCTTGTTGATTATTGATTTATTTTGTCTCCCTTTTCCTTTTCTCTTGGCTTTTTTTCGATAATTAAATGGAAATAAAAATAATAATAATAAGAGCTGGCTCATCTCATTACTTTGATTATCTAGAATTAGATTTAATTGCTTGGTAGGATTAGTAGTTTAGTATCATCACCTTAAATGGTTAAAAGTTGTAGTTTTATGGAGTACTTTTTCTAGTATTATGTTTTTTGTAACAGGAAAAAAATTGCTTTTAGCTTGCCGAATAATTGTTTATATTACTGAGAAGTTTACTCTGAGTAAAACTGTAGTATAGAATCTCTAATAACTTTCAGATGGAGTAATGCGAATATTTATAATAACAAATGGAGAATTAAGAGTACTTATTTGGGACTTGTTATTGTTAAAACAAACATTTTGCTAGTCGATCCAACTTGTTCTTTGACATGTGCTATTGTCTATGACTCTATGTCAAAGCTAATTGTGTATGGCCCGGTCAAGGAGATAAACAGATTTGCAAAAAAGGAACTTGCTTTTTGTATGTAAATCATAAAAAAGAATGGGTTATTGAAAATAGGAATATGGGGAAAGGGAATAAAACACAATCTCCTTTTTAGAAGTATCAGCTTATGTCACATAAGTTAAGTTAATACTTCCTCTGTTTCAAAAATATTAAACATTATTTCCTTATTAGTTTGTTCCAAAAAAATTGACACCTTTTAATATTTCTTGTAGCCACACAAATGCTATAACAAATTTCAAATCACAAGTTTCAAAAGTTTTACAATTACACAAATGCTATGGCTTATTTAAGACCACACATCTTAAAAGTCTTTTTATTTTTTGTTAAAGTTTGTGCTAAGTTAAACTAAGACAATCTTTTTGAAACGGAGGAAGTAAATTGTATGGGAGAAGGCCCTTTGGCAAACTTCTAAAATCTATTTATTTTTGTCCCTGCAGGAACCCTTTTGCAGAAGCTCCTAAACGCCCAAACTAAAGCTAATAGCTTTACTGTTGAACACCTAGATTAGTTACCAATAACTGGCAGCTCTGAAGAGTATAGAAAGTTTAATTTATAAAGAAAGAAAGTACTGTTATTGCTAAAATACTTAACGCAGTCAAAGATTTGAACAATAAAAATAGTAGCCTTCACAAAACTTAATTTGGAATTAGCTCCAATCTAGCTGTTATAATCCATCTAGAACTGAACACAGATCAGTTTTCCGGTTACTGACTACAGAAGAAATGATCCAAACAATTCAATAAGACCTGCTTGGAGCTGAAAAAGGTTAGAAGCATATTAGATGTAGTATCTATTGCTGCTGCTATTTGAAGGTGCAAAGCATCCGCAAAGATGGACCTTCTTTCTCTTTTCACTATTTCTCTTCCCAATATGGATGAAGTTCTTCAATACAATACCTGCATTGCTCCTGGAAAATCTGCTTCTGGCTATGCTATTCTTTTCATCATCCAGTTTCAGTAACATGTAGTGAAGTTTTTGAACCTCCAATTGTAGTCGTTCAACCTTCTCAGACCCCTTTCTCGCCTGCTCTGAAACTCTTTTGCGCTTGATATTCATGACCTCTTTTGATTCTGCTGAAGTACTTCCTGTAAGAAGTGTGCTTTCTTCTGCATTCTTCAGTAAATGGGCGTTCAAATTGACCAGCTGAACAACCGTTAGCTCAGTTTCTTGTAACTGTTCTTTTGCTGCTTCAAAGTCAATATTTTTGGCTTTTCTAGCCTTTCTGTTAGTATACAATTTCCTTCTCATGTTATCAACAGTCATCTGAAGACTCGTCAATTTCTCAGCATCAGAAGCAAGTCGCTCCTGAATCTGCTTGGTTGTTTCATGACTTGCGTTAGAGGAGTTCATTGATGACTCTAACTTATCAACACCCAACTCCTTTTCCATTTCTGCATCTGCGGTTGGATGATTGCTCCTCCAATCCAAATCACTAAATTGATTGTACCCTATAGTCCGCTCTGTTGGATAATTTGCCGGTTTCTTCAAGTCCTTTACACTTTGTTTGGGGCTGCATCCCTCTGTGGTTTCCCATAGCTCAAGCATCTGATCAACTGCTCTGTGTGCCTCAGAAGAACTTCTTCTAGCTCTTTGTGGTGAGTCATCAGAGACATGACATGATCAAGTGGTATATCTTTCATTCGGTATCCTGTTTCGGCCGTCAAAGGATTTGGGTTTCATCTTTTGCCTATTATGACCATCACCATGCTCATTCCTCGGACTCCTCCTTTCTGCATGTTCATGTTTCTCTAGATCAGAACTACGCCGAGATTTTAATGCCTCAATTTCACTTCCAGCACTGTCTCGACCACACCTATTGTATGAAGATACCTCCAAAATAGGCTTGTTCCTCTCTTCCACTACTTTTTCAACAGCTTTAATCCTGATCCTCAGCTCCCGCAAATCTAGGATGTCTTTTGTCATGACATGTTGATCTTCTATCAGCTTTCCACCGCTACTTCCATCAGGATGAACCACAACATCAACACACTGCAAATATATGCAGGAAGAAGAAATTTCAACAGGAAAATTGCAGCTGATCACAAACTCTCCAGGATAAAATGATTTTCATATATTCCCTATGTACTTCTAAATAAAAGTCCATAGAATATTCTTACAAGTCAACTGGGCAACACGAAACCAATGTTTTTTTCCCCTGATAATAGTTGTGCCAGGGCAAACTTGAGCACACCTCGACTAATCTTTACCGGGTACGTGCTATCTCCCACCAACACAGGAACCAGACAACTCTGTCCATCAAGGCTTAGGCAAACAACAACAACAACTAACCCAGTGCAATCCCACACAGTGGGGTCTGGAGAAGGTAGTGTGTACGCAGACCTTATCCCTACCTTATAAAGGAAGAGAGGTTGTTTCCGATAAGCCCATCAAGGCTTAAGCAAATGGAAAGAAATCCTTTTTGTCTCTGCTGGGATTTGAACCCTAGTCCTCTAAGGTTTGCACCCACTTCATACACCACTAGGCCACATCCTTTTCTGTTACAAACCCAATGTTAAAATTAACATTGTTGAGCTAGATCTTCTTCAACAATCTAGACGCAAGTCATGAGTCTAAGTCAAGCAAACAAGTCAGTCTATCCCTAAGAAACGAGATATCATACACAGGAAATTGCTCTGAAAGAATGAAGCCTCAATAGGATGAATTTCAAAGAGAAAATACTGACTAAGAATAGTATTCAAAGTATAACAAACATATGTTAAGAATAGTTCCAGGAGATTTTCATCCAAACCTCGACTTCACAGAGCAATCAAACCACTGATGTTTTAAAGAAAAGGTCATGTTAAAACCCAAAAGGCTTGAGTTACATTCAGGCCCAACAACAGAAATATCATCAGTTGCAGTAAGTATGAGAATAAAAGAAACATGTACATCAGTTAGTAGTAGAAACTACATTACCTTTGATTCCTGAGAGCCAGCTTGCTCAAGCCTCGTGTGGAGGAGCGCATTATGCTCAAGCGATACTACATCATCCCTCAAAGAGGCTATTGCAGGAGCATATGCATGTAATTGCAACTTCAGTTCTCCCATTTCTCTCTCCATTTTATTGATTTTTCCTTTCACCTGCTCCATCTCCAAGCTTTTGGAAGCATTTTCACCTTCGACTCTCCCGCAAAACTTAGTTAACTCATCCATCTTGGTTTCCGGTAACACTTCTCGAATGGAGGAAATCTGGAAATCAAAATAAACTGTTTCTGCTTCTGCCTCCCATAAGCCAAACTCATAGTCTTTCTCCTGGAGCTCCGAATTTAGGCAGTCTTCTCCGACTCGTTGCTCTTCAATTTCTTCATGCAATTTATTTAATTCGCCCACCAAATTCATGTTCGCTTCTAGAAGGCATTCAATTTCCTTGTTCTGAGTTGTATTCTCTCTCGATATTTCAATTATCTTCTTTTCTAGATTTTCATTCATCTTCGAGGATTCTAGACAGTCAGCCTTTAGTGCATCTAGAGCCCTACACAATTCTGAGTTCAAACTTTCAGATGCTTTAAGCTTCTCTCCTGCTTTCGAAAGCCCGGCTTCTTGCTTGCCAAGAAGTTCTTTTCCAGTTGATATTTCCAGCTTCAAATGATCATTAGATCCCTTGACCTCATGAAGCTCATTTTCTAACCTTTGAACTGATTTCTTCAGAAGTAGGTTATCAGTTTCCTTCATTTCCAGCTTCTTGTTAAGTACATCCATCTCCTTCTCAAAGTCAAGGATAACACAATAAAGTTTGCGCATGTCTTCATAAATGGACTTTAGCTCATCTGTTTTTTCAGTACCATAACTCTTCAAAATCGTAGAGAAATTACCAAGAGTTAGTGTCTCAAGTAGCAAACCATCATTTTCCTGCTCCACTACCCCTTTCTCCTCCTTGATCTCTGAGAGATTTGTCAACAATGTTTCATTCTCATGGAGCACTTGAGAGTATTTATTTTGTAATTCAAGGTAAGCTGTCTGCAACTCATCATGCTTGACACAGAGAGTCCGAACCTCCACCTCAAGTATGGCAGTTAGTTGACTACTGCTGCTCATTTCTGACTGCAATTTCTTGTTCATCTCTACTAGGTCATGATTGTCTTTTTGCACTCTTACCAGCTTCTCTTCCATGATATTAAGCTCCTCCTCCACAGATTTCTTCATCGACTCCACTTCCAGGCCCTTTGATTTCAGCTCCGCAAATAGAGTTAAAAGAACTGAGTTTTCGACCAACAACTGCTGCTTATCATCCTCATACATTCTGAGGGAACATTTCAGATCCTCAACACTGCCCAAGATATGATGCAGGAAAGTTTGTTCATTTTCCACCTTATCTTCAGACACAAGGTGAGAGTCATTTTCAAAGACCCTGAAAACTTGATATATCACCATTCTCAACCTTACAATTTCATCTACCAAAATCTCTGCTTCAACCTGCTGTTCAAGGCTCTCATTCTCTACCTCTAAAATCAATTTGTCAGCCAATTTCAATGACTCAATATGTTTCTGACACTCAATCAAGAGAGAATAATTCTTTTCTTCCATATCTTGTAAAAACTTCTGCAGGATGAAAATTTCAAACTGAGATTTTAAAGCTCTGTTAAATTCTTCTTCAAATTCTTTCTTCCTCCACTTACTCTCTCCCTGCAGGTGATGGATATGGTTTTACATGTAAATTAACCGGGTCTCACTCTGATGAGTAATGTTGGTCCTTTCTTGTTTCTCCATTTCAACAGAAACTCCAAGTTCTTCAACTTGTAGCTGTTTTACTAGTTTCTCCTTCTCTAGGCAAGCATACCTTTCTTCGAAAACCATAAATGTTGTCCCCAGTCGCCGTTCAACTTTTTTCAACTGAACAGCTAGGTTACCTCTTTCAGCAAGAATATTGGACTTCTCATTCATCATAAATTGGCATATCTCTTCTAAACCCTTGGCCTTTTCCCTTAGACCTTCAAGTTCAGCTTTTGCACCAAAACAAGAGTTCTCGAGAACATCATTTTTCTCTAGGAGTTTCTGCATGTTCTCACTTAAAATTTGCAACTGAGAGAGCAAAGCAGCTTTTTCAGTGACAAGAGTAGATTTCTCTCCATTGAGAATTTGACAAGACTCTTGCAGTGCTCTCACCTTTTCCTGCGATCCCTGCAATTCATCATTCTCATCTGAGAGGGAACTCTGTAAAGTAGCCGTCTTCTTCAAAAGTTCATCCATGTCTTCCAACTTCTTGTGGAGGACTTCTTTCTCGCTTCTGATCTTCTCACAGATTATCCTGAGCTTGGAGTTCTCTTCATGCAAGCTCTTTATTGAAGAGTTGATACATTTAGGGTTTATACCTGTGGCCTTCACTTGCTCTACTAAAGCCTGATAGCTACTGTTTAGGTCCTTGGTTTCCTCTTTCAAAAATGAAATCTCTTGCTGAAGGTTGTTACTTAGTTCAACTTGTTGAGCAACCTCCTCTTCAAGTTTCTCCTTCATCTTCTTCAAGCTAAGGATTTCATTTTCCAGATTGTTTATCGAATTGGCTGAGGATAATTTCAGTTCATTCAGGCTCTTATTTTCATCCTTCAATCGCTTAAGTTCACCTTCCAAACTATTTTTGCATGTTTCCATGTCCTTCAACAGCTCAAGACAATTTTTGAGTTCCACGGTCAGAGGTCTCTGGTCTTCTTGTGATTGACAGTGCAAATTCTGCAGAGTCTGAAGGGTGGCTTCAATTTGTGCATGTCTTAAGTGCTCATTTCGCATATCAACTTGAATTTTCTCCAACTCTATCTGCTTCTTAGAGAGTTCTTGATCTTTCGTTGCGATCTTCGTTGCCAAATTATCTGCCTCTCGGCACAATGAATGATTTAACATCTCCAGCACAACACACTTGTCCTCGGCATTTTTAAGCTTTGCAGCTCCTATTGAAAGCTCACCATTAAGGCGTTTTACATCCTCTTGGGCACAAGATAGTTCATTCTTAAGTTTGGATATTTTACCCAGACAGTGTTTATAGTCACAGACAGCAGCTTCTTTGTTCTCACTTAGCTCCATCAGAACAAATGTCAGTTTCTTGATCTCAGCTTCAGCTCCATCAGCTCTCTCCTTAAGCGTTCTGGATTCTTCCTGAGCCACCAATAGATTTTTCTCAAAGTCAGATATGTTTACCATGCATAGCTTATATTGATCATGGACAGCATCCTTTTCAAACTCAAACTTAGAGATCTCATTCCTAAGATTCTGAGCTTCGGTTTCTGCTTTAATTGCATGCTTATTTAGTTCTTTTGTCCCTTCAAGTGCTTGACTAACCTTAACTTCCAACTTAGATATCCTTCCCAGATACTCCTTATGTTTGCTCAAACTAGCATCCCGTTCAACCTCTAATTTGATAAGGGATTCCTTCATCTTTTGAACTTCATTTTCAGCTCTGCTAGCTCGTTCACTGAACTTCGTGGAATCCTTCTGTGCACTATTGAGCTCCCTCTCTGCAGCAGATAACTGTTCCAGGCATTGCTGATACTGAATGAAGGTAGTTTCTTTTTCTGCTTGCATACCAGCTAGGGCTTCCTTCAAGTTTCGAACTTCAGCTTCAGCTTCACTGACACGCTCCGACTGAATGAGGATTTTGGCCTTGAGATTCTCATTCTCATCAGACAATTCGGGTACTTGATTATGCGAACGTTTTTCCTTTTCTTCTGTGTTTCTGTTCAATCCTTTGCTCAATTTTCCTTCGAGGAACTTTGAGTTTTTTAACATTTCTTCTCCAGCCCCAAGCATCTCAAGCAACTGCTTTAAACCCCACTCACGTGTTCCCTTATCAGAATCACCAGTATAAGTCCCAATCTTCTGTGCAGCATGTATACTAGATGGTGTTAAACCCATCACATACTGTTGCAAGTTATCTGTGTCAGAGGATGCATGAATCGGGCACCACTGTCGTGGAGTATGTGGCTCTGTATACAGTGTGGAAGATCTCATAGGTGAATCTTCATCCAGTAGAAAAGGCACTTGGTCAGGAAATGCCTCTGACATGGTTTTATGGGCCTGCCTTAGCTCGCCTGTTACATGATCATATCTTTCAGCTAGTGCCCTGTACAACTCCTCAACCAGCTTCATTAGCTCAGGCCTCTTTTTGTAATACATTTCAGCCCTTCTTGCAAATGAATCGGCATCTTCTTCAATGAGCTTGATCATTGACTTTACTTTAGCATCCATTTCTGTTGAAATAAGATGCGAAACAAGTTAAGTTCCTCAATGAGATTTTACAAACAAGTGCATCACAAGAAACTTATGCATAATTTTCCAAGTACCACATATAGAAGACAATACAATGATATATTCAACGTAGCAGGACTTATCGTGACATCAAACTCACGAGCTATACGATGAAGCTTGGGAAAAAGTGATAGAGCATAGACTTAGGGACACTACAAAAGCGAGCGGAAATCATTTTTCGATTTATACCTGGTACATTTACAATGGAGGCTATATTCTTGCAATGAAAATTTACACGGAGAGGAAAAAGGACCTACAAATGGTGTTCATTGACCTAGAGAAATCATATTATAGGTTGCTAAGAGAAGTCCTTTGGTGGTATTGGAAAAGAAAGGAATTCATATTAAATATATAGAATGCAATAAAGGATTTATCAAGGAGCTGTCACTAGTGTAAGAGCAGTGGTAAGAGATAAAAAGGAGTTCCCTTTTACTGTACTTTTACATCAGAGATCCGCATTGAGGCCGCACTCGTTTACCTTAGTTATAGATCAGCTAACTAACAATATACAAGATAAGGTCTCATGCTGTCTGCTAATTGCAGACGATATTGTGTTAATTGATGAAACTAATAAGGGTGTCAAACAAAACCTTGAACTATGGAGAAGCATTGTAAAGAAAATGTTGTAGATGCATAGAAGCGAGAGTGAATATAGACACTGCAAGTTTAGACAACACAAAAAGGGTGAGGTTGGATTAAATTAGACGGGATTGTGGTCCCTAATACACAAGTCAGTTATTCAGAGTAGATCTTTCAGGAGAACTGTGATAGATGCAGATATTACACATACAATCATAATAGGATGGTTAAATGGAAAAGTACTAATTGTGTGTTATGCGTTGAGAGGATATTTACCAAAGTGAAAGGCATGTTCTATAAAATGGTTGTAAGACCAGAAACGTTATATGGGAGTGACTGTTGGGCCAGTAGGTCCAACATATCCACAAGATGAGTGTCGTAGAAATGCGGATGTTAATATGGATGTGCGGAATTCATACAAGATTGGACAAAATTAGAAATGATCACAGTCGACAAAATTCGCAAGTAGCACGCATATATAAAAATCAATTTAATTATCCGGGTTCCAGTTCTGCAAAAAGGGACAGCAACAAATCTGAGACGCCTAGCAGATTATCTGCCCTTTTATCAGATTGTATGTAATGCAGAGAGGAACAACTGCTCCAGATATGAGTATCGGCTTGGTTGTAGCTTGTAACCAATTTATCTGCTAGTCTAAAGTAAAGATCCATCTTTACAAGATAATGGAATAACAGATCTATGCATATTCAAGCACAGGACCACCTGATAGGCAACACACCAGATTCCACCCTCATACCTCATGCTGGTAATCCACTCACAGGCACAAATTGCATACAGACATTTAATACACTTTCCTTAAAAAGAACACATAAATATCTAGGTTCTAGCAACTTCTTATGCATACACGCATGAATGAAGACTCAAGGCAAGCCTTCCATCACTGATATTTTATCACTTCCAATTATAAGATCAAAATATATGTTTTCAAAAACTCATAGATGTACAGAGGGAGACAAGGAGAAGAGATAGTGCTTTTCTCAATTCATTTGCACAGAATAGGTTATAATAACTCTCCATAGCCATGATTATCATGCAAAATTCTATTTTTGCATCGATTGGTCTTCATACACACCACAGAACATATCTTGTCAGTGCAAAGCGGCATACCAAGTTTTCGTAAGACCAGAAGAAAACCATCGTTTCATTAATTCAAACAAAAGCTTAACATCAAAATAACAAGTAACAAATTCAAACAATCAAATGGCATGAAGTTTGCTTCTCCTGAGGAAGACATAACATGGAAATGTATTCAGAATGAAGTTATTTCTGCAAGGCCAAGAGAAGCGCCTTGCAGTAAGATTTTCTTGAAGGCATTTTGAGTTTTTTGGAATATGGCTATCCCACCACCAAGAGTACAAGCGCCTCGTGTCAGAATGTAGCAAGGTCGCCATGACTCCAGCAAAGAACAAAAGGGCAATAGGTTTTGTCCTTGTAACATCCTGATCTTTATACCAGTAAAAGAAATTATGAATCCACGCCAGTGTCAGAACTTTATATTGCTCAATTATCAAGGTCTAGCAGCTTCAGTTCTCTCGCCTAGCCAACAGAACAGCTGAAGAAAACAATTTTGAATTAATAAAGGATCAAGACCTGAAACTATGACAACATGGATAAAGACATCAATATAGCATTGCACCATACCTGCTCTGCTTCTGTGCCAGGTATGGACCACCAAAGACACTGTAATTCTTTATTAATTCAGAAGGTTTCAAAGCTAAGAAGCTTCTATCTTGAAAACGCCAAATACATGCAAGTCTTTATCAATTTGGCCCCAGAATAAGAATGTGTCTAGATAGAAATGGAAAGCACATCATAATATCATAATTGACAGAAGTATCACAATCAGAACAAGAAAGAGAAACTTCTAAACAAACTGTGCGGTACATCACAAATCAGGCAACTTCTAAACCAAACAGTTCAAGGCCTCACACAGGCGTTGCCACCTTTGTCCAAGGGGTGTCACCGGAACTATATGTTGAATCCCCTCGGCTTCTTCCTGTGTTTACTTATTTGTATTTTGACTCCCTAAGTGAAAATATCTGGCTCCTCCACTACACTTGTCAATTGGTAAAATGAGAGTGGAGAACACCAAATGATGTTTAACCATCAAGATTTATAAACCCCACAACAGAAAGTCAAAGAGTTTGTGCAAATGGACGTGAATAAATGTACAAAAGATCAATCTTTATATAATTTGGGTCAAACAACTAATCTATTTGAAATGTTGTCAGCACGATTTCAAACATATCAAGCAGTTCCCATTAAGCAAAATCACCAATTAAAATGGACATGACTAAGACAAATGAGACGCAAGAAAAAAAACTCAAAAAAAAAGGACCTTTAGAACAATTAAAAGAAAGAATGAGAAGAAGCTTACAAAAATACTGAAAGGTGATAAGAGCAGAGTGATGAGCAGCCATGAAAGTGAAACTTCATTTCCTTGCAGGCCAGCATTTCTCATTCACTCTCCTTTGCCCCCATCTGCATCCGCATTTTGGTCAATGTGACTAAAACTGTTAAAGTGGAGACAAATGTGAATTACTTCTATTAAATGCAGCTTTGAATGGGCATCAGTCTTCACTATACATTATACAATACAATGGGCATGATATAAAGTACGTATATTTCGGGATACACACGCTGTTTGTTGAGTTTTTGAAAGAAGAAAATGTTTGTTTGAACTGTTTTTGTCTAAAAAGTTTTATTTTCAAAAAATAATAATTAAAGGCCAACCTTTTAAATCTTTCAAAAACTCTAACAAACAAACACCAAATTATCTAATTTACAAATCATAAATTAGTGGAGCATACATTAGTTATAATTATAATTAAGTTTAAAGTTTTTATGTAGAGACATATCAGGCAATCAAATGCACATTTAGAATTTGAATTATGGGGTCGGATTCAAAATTTTATCACACGTGTACTTCAACAAATTAAGGTGGATTTGTTTTTGATTTTGCAAAAATGGAAATTTTAAACTCGATTTGTTTGTGGTTTTTGGAGAAAAATATTGTTTGAACCTTTGCAAACTTTTGTTTATTCAAATTTTCAAGTTTTTCAAAAACTTAAACCAAGTAAACTGATGTCCTAAAGTAGAGTAAGAATACCAAAAAAACGTGTCAGGTAATTATGGGCACTGTGAACTTAGAAAGCGCTTAGATAGGAAAAGTAATAATTCGATTTATGAGATTCCTTAAAAGGATTATATTCACATTCGCTAGATGTTATTGATGCTTTATAGCATTGGGGAAATTTTATTTTGTGTCTCATACAACTGACACTAATTATATAAGGCAATTTTTTTGTCTCACAATTTTGTGAACCCAGATTTTTGTAGACCCAGAAGTGTAAGATTGGGGTCCACAAATTTGCGAGACAAAAAGGAGTCTTATACAACTAGTGTAAGTTGTATGAGACACAAAATAAAACTTCTCCGGGATCTCAAAATGTTCTTTCTTGGGTCTTATAGATACTTTATCCATCGACCTTGTCCCCAAATCTCTCTTGCACCTATGTTAAATACGGGAATAATATAACATACCAAAACTTTTAAAGGTGTGTCAATTACACACCACTTCGGTGTTTGACCACATCTGCTTAAAGATTGCTATTACACGCGCCAATCAGCGTCTGATACGTGTCATAAATCGTTAAAAAAACTGAAAAAAACCTCTGCCCCCACCCCACTCCTCATCTTCCCAAAGAAAAAAATACAGCAAAAAAAACCCCAGCCCCTCCTCATCTCCCTAACCCCATCATCCTCTCCAACACCACCATACTACCACCAACCCTTCCACTACAAGCACCTTCTTCCCCAACTATAGATTCAACTCTTTGCCCAATTTTTAATAAGTTTTAACAACATCCATCACAAATCCTTACAGAAATTTCAAAATCAAGCTCAAACCCAAAGCTTCAAATTTGTTAACAGTGTTTTTTGAATTTTATCAAAACTAACCACCTGAGTAAATTTTTTGTGACGACCCAAAGGGTCATCACCTGTGTTCTTATCCATTCTGTGCTTTCGAGGCTTGAAAACCTCATTTAGAGCCGTTTCGATTTGCGTGCGCAGTCCGGGCGTGTAGCCGGAAAGCTTAAATATTAAATTCTGTGAAAAATGCTAAGTTTTGAGTTTAAAATGAATAAATTTGACTTCAGTCAATATTTTAGGTAAACGGATCCGGACCCGTGATTTGACGGTCCCGGAGGGTCCGTAGGAAAATATGGGACTTGGGCGTATGCCCAGAATCGAATTCCGAGGTCCCAAGCCCGAGAAATGAAATTTTGAGTAAAATTGTTTTTCTGAAATTGTTAAGGAATTTTGAAATAAAATTTGATTAGAACGTGTTGATATCGGGCCCGTATTTTGGTTCCGGCGCCCGGTACAGTTCTTATATGTGATTTAAGATCTTTATGTAAAGTTTGGTTAAAATCGGACGTCGTTTGACGTGTTTCGGACTTGAAATCCTAAATTTGAAACTTGATGAAGTTTTTGGAAAAAAACTCTTGATTTTGAGGTTTGATTCGTTGTTATTGATGTTATTTTGGCAATTTGATCGCACGGATAAGTTTGTATGATGTTGTTGAGTTAGTGCATGTGGTTGGTTAGGATCCCTAGGGCTCGGGAGTGCTTTGGAGGTATTTCGGAGTGGTTTTAGACTTATGAAAGTTGCAGGTTTCCAGTTCTGGTATGGTCTTCTTCGCGTTCACGGGAGAACCCTCGCGAACGCGATGAGTAAATTTGCTGAAGGAAAAGTCCTTCTACGCGAACGTGAGGCAATGGGGGTTTATACCTTCACGAACGCGGACCTGGCCACGCGAACGCGAAGGCCAAGTGGCCTGGGCAGGGGTGGGTAATTACCCTACTCGAACGCGACCCATTGGACGCGAACGCGAGGGCTCGAGGGGATCCTTCTCCGCGAACGCGAGCCCATTTACGCGAACACGAAGGTTTAACCAGCCTGACCCATCGCGAATGCGAAGGGTCTGTCGCGAGCGCGAAGGGCAATTTTGCCCAGTTATTTTAAAACTCCAAACAGAACCATTACGGGATTTTCACAAAACTTCACAAACTCTTTCTTCTCCAAAATTCTAGGGCGATTTTTGAAGCATTTCTTCACCATAATCTCTTGGGTAAGTAATCTTTAACTCGTTTTCTTCCATTTTCATCAACATCTATGGAATTTCTAGGCCTAAAACATGTAATTAAGGGTAGAAATTAGGGAATTGGGTAGAGTTAGGGATTTTGGATTTTTTCTTGATTTTTACCTCGTTTTGGGGTCGAATTTGAAAACAAATTATATATTCGGGCTCGTGGGTGAATGGGTGATTTGATTTTGGTCCAAACCTCGTGTTTTGACCAAGCGGGCCCGGGGTCAATTTTTGGGATTTTGGGAAGAATGCTTGGAAGCTATAATTAGGCATTGGGTTCACATTGTTTAGCATTTATTGATGTATTGAAGTCATTATTGTATAGATACAATCGATTTGGAGCCGAATTCGAGAGGAAAAGCGGTAATTGAGGATTGATTTGACCGTGGAAGTTTGAGGTAAGGGATTAGGAGTTGGGTCTTATTTGCTACGTGCTAATTGTCGAGTATGACGTATATGCATGGTGATGAGCATCTATACGTTGGTGTCGACCGTGAGTCTTAAATTTTAATGTTATTTTGTTCTTAAATGGCACTTCAGATGCTTTAATTAATGATCTCCTATATCGAGTAAAGATTGATTTTATACTCATAGATTTTAGTCATGATTGAGTATTGTCATTAATTGAGCAAAGTACAAAATGAGTTAGGATTTGGTTATAGTTGATTCTCCCTTGTCGGGATGACTATTTCGATATTGTTGGTCCCTTGTCGGGAAATTATTATATTGCTTTTGTTCCCTTGCCGGGAAGTTATTATATTATTTATGTTCCCTTGCCGGGATTTCTTGTGATTGTATGATGAAATGGGAGCGGGCGGTATGCCTACCACAAGATATAATGAAATAGGAGCGGGTGGTACACCTACCACGAGATATGATANGAGCGGGTGGTACGCCTACCACGAGATATAATGAAATGGGAGCGTGTGGTACGCTTACCATGAGATATAATGAAATGGGAGTGGCTGGTACACCTACCACAAGATATACTGAAATGGGAGCGGGTGGTACGCCTACCGCAAGATATACTGAAATGGGAGCAGGTGGTACGCCTACCATAAGATATATTGAAATGGGAACGGGTGGTATGCCTACCACAAGATATGAGAAATGGGATCGGGTTGCACTCCTGCAACAAGATGAAACTGAAAGTGAAAGTTGCCTTATTTCTCTTTATCCGTGTTAGAAGTTAAATTGTAGTTTCCTTACTATTCTTTGATATTCTGTTTTATCTGCTATCCCCAGAGTATGTTTTCTCTTTCCCAGCTTTGATTGCTTATTACCTGTTTACTTTTTCCGCCATATAGTATATAACTGCACAGGTTTATCTGGAGTATGGTCCTAGACTCGTCACTACCTCGCTGGGGTTAGGCCAGACACTTACCAGCACATGGGGTCAGTTGTGCTGATACTACACTCTGTGCTCTTTTGCACAGATCCGGGTCTTGGACAACAGCAGTAGCACGGGAGCCAGCCTTCAGTCCAGTGAGACACCGAGGTAGCCTTGCAGGCATCCGCAGGCCCGACGTCTCCTCTATCTTTTATTTTAGTCTGTTATCTCATGTTTCCGAGATAAACAACTTATATTTTTCTTTCAAACGGTTGTATTTAGTACTCTTAGGAGTTCATGAGTAATGTGACACCAATTCTTGGGTAGAGGCATATGTTGATTTCCACATTTTTGTTCAGTTTCTTTAATTTAAGTCTTCCGCATATTTATTTAATTCCGTTGTTTTCATGATATTACTGATAATTGTTAAAAGAAGTAATTTGTTAATGAAGTAAGCAGTTAAGGATTGGCTTGCCTGGCTCACATCAGTTGGTGCCATCATGACTCCCGAGGGTGGGAAATCCGGGTCGTGACAAGTTGGTATCAAAGCTCTAGGTTACATAGGTATCACAACTCACAGACAAGCTCAGTAGAGTTTGAGGGATCGGTACGGAGACGTCTGTATTTATCCCCAGAGGCTACAGAGTTAGGAAAATCTCACATTTGTTCTTTCTTGTCGTGCAGATTTGTTCCTCAAATGCTAATTGGATTTTTACTCTGTTCTTTCGTAGATGGCAAGAACACGCACTTCCTCATCTACCGCTCAGTAGCCCGAGCCCCCAGCAGCGGCTCCTACTAGGGGCAGAGGGCGAGGTCGAGGCCGTGCAAGAGGCTGAGGTAGGGGCAAAGCTCAGCCCCGAGCAGCAGCACCAGTGGCGGAGCTTCAGGTTGATTTTGAGGAGGAGGTTCCGGCCCCAACAGTTTTGGTGGGCCCAACTCAGGTCCCAGAGGGGTTCATTGCCACCCCAATTTTTCAGGACGCTCTGGTCCGATTGGTGGGCCTCATGGAAAGTGTCACCCGAGCAGGTTTGCT